TGGCTTTTTTGGGGCAGAGTGAGGGGAGTTGAGTCACACCTGGCTGTGCTCAGGGCTTCCTTGTGGCTCTGCCCTCAGGGACCCCATTTGGTGGCGCTCAGAGGCCCACATGTGGTGCTAGGACCATGCCCTTGGGGCCACGTGCAGAGAGAGCTCCCTGCTCTGGCGTTCACAGGATGCAATTTTCATTTCTGAAAGGTTCCTTTCCCCCTGTGTGGCTCTCATTCCCTCATGTCTCCCCCAGGGCCCCTCTGAGTGGACTTGGTGATTTCTCCTGCGAGAGTTGCTCCTGGGCATCCTTGGGTCGGTCCCTGTGATGGTTGATGATATGTAATGCCAGGGACCTCTGCCTGGGATTTCCCCATTATAATCAGGCCAAGTGACTTTTGCATCCTGGGTGTGATTCTGAGAGTCTTCTCATGGGAAAGCCGGTGCTTTCCTCAAACTGTGACCCCACCGGAGGCCCCTCCACCTCCCCTGGCTGATGACTGAAGCCCAGCCCCGGCCCCCTCGAGTCTCCCAGATCAGCTAAGACACCCTAGCCAACTCCCCGGAGCCTCCTGGCTCCACACACAGCCCTGAGCTCCACAGAATAAAGCGAAACAGCGTCTGCAGCAAAGAGGAAACTTCCTGGGCCTTGGATCAGGATGGAAGACGCACAAATCCCTGTATTTTTCCAACACGATGCTTGGCTTTCCATCCAACCCTCACTTCTCCTGATTAAAGGGAACAAGCGCGCCTGATTCCGAGAGAAAGCCAAGCCTCAAAGGTGGTTATTTCATGTGATTTCAATCACTGGTTCCCGCTTCCGGGGACTCCCTCCGCTGCGGCAGCTGGGCTCGGGGGCAACTCAGCTTCAAAGAGCTGTGGGATCCACCGCTGTCTGAAGCAGCCTGGGATCGGCACTGCGACACGTCTCGCTCTACTCCTTCACGTGGAGCCAATGGATACGAGGCCACGTGGCGGCCAGTCCCTTCACGGCTGGGGGCCTGTGGCAGACCCAAGGGACCCCTGCAGCACCCAGAGCTGCCTGAGCCAGCTGGCGCGCCCGTCTCCAGGCTTCTGCTCAGTTCCCGGGCCCCAGGTCTGCTGCTGGCCTGTTTGCCTGCTCCTGCAAGGGCATCTCTGCACACCCATATTCTGCCATAAGGAGCTCTCGTGAGTTCTTTATTTGGAAGGTTTGTTGGTTCGACCACGTTCAACACCTCTAACTCTCTTGGGGCCGCAGTGGGCACAAGCAGGCAGAGTCCTGCAGGGGCTGGATGTCACAAGGGCCCTGTTCAGCCTCTCTGGGCTGCATCCCACTGTGTGTAAAGCAGAGGGCTGGGGCAGGGAAGATGGCGCAGCAGGTAAGGTGCTTGCCAGGCCCACAGTCAGGTTTCACCCCCAGCACCAGCACAGGGTCTCCTGAACCCCGCCAGGGGTGATCCCAGAGCACTGAGCCAGGAGTCAGCCTTAAGCAATGCTAGGTCTGGCCCGCCCCTCCTCCCCCCGGAAAAACACACACACACACACACACACACACCAACATAGGGTTGGAAGGAAATGTCCCCTCAGCTCTGCCCTGGCCCCCAAGGACACCCAAGGGGTTTCCCAAACCATGTCTGCAGACATGATGGAGCAACAAGAACTTGGCGGCCAGGAGCCGTCCCTGGACACAGTGCTGAGAGGACCCCTGTCATGCATCAGCCCAGCCCGCGGGCTCTGAGTCTCCCCAACAGTCACTCTAGTGGCTGCAGTCGGCAGTCTCCCGCACCCTGAAAGCTGACGGAGGTTCAAGCCTAGCAGGAAATGATGGGAGGCGCCTTCCCAGGGGCCGGGCCTGCCTCCAGAGCCAGGGTCAGGGCTTCTGGTGACAAGAAGGCACCAGCCTGACCTGGTGAAATCCCTGGGGTGTCTGGCGGTGGGGGGGGGGGGGACAGTGTCGCTGGCCCTGTGGCTGCCTGAGAAGCAGACAGAGCTGAGAAACAGACAGAGAGAGACCCCAGCCCAGGAAGCAGTAAGGCAGGCAAGGCACAGCCTGCGAGCAGGCGGTCCAGGCTCCAGCCCCGCACCACACCGCTGCCAAGCACTGTAGATAGGACCTTGGGCGAAACTGGGCACAGACCCCCCCCCCCCAAATGGACTCATTTTTTCACAAAGCAATTCAGACAGCATGCTCACCAGCAGGAGGCTCACCGAGGCCAAGGAGGGACCCCTGGGGACCATCCCCACCGGCAAAGCCCTTACGGAGAAGCCCCTTCTTCTGTCCCATCAGCAAGGCCAGGAAACAAGGGCTCTCGCCCTTCCCCTCCCCCTCCCTCCCCCCCCCCCCCATATCCCTGGCTCCCAGCTCCCAGCTCCCAGCTGACCTCAGTGCCTGCTGGCCTGAGCCGGGGTGGAAGCAATGGGCACCATCACCACGGCCCTGGCTCGGCCGCGCCACTGCTGGATGGTGCACTCGGGAAGGAGCGAGGCGACCCTGCAGGGCCCCTTCTCAGACATGGTGGCAGCCAGGTGCAGCAGCACCCTGAAGCCCCTGGAACTAGCATGTGAGGGGAAGAACCGGGGACACAGGCAGGAGCCTCTCCCCTTGCTGCAGGGGTCAGGAGAGTCCCTGCTCCCACCCCACCTTCAGGAGTGAACTCACATGACAGGACAGAGAAATGGGTCACTGAGATGATCCGGGCCCAGGGACCAAGCCGGACCTAAGCCGGGAGCTGTTCAGGTCTCCGTGGCTGGACATGGAAGTACCAGAAAGTGGCACATGTGGCTGCCATGTGCCAAGCCTCGTTCCCCCCAACCCTGTGGGCAGCGAGAGCTCGCTCCCTCCGCAGGCAGTGCACTGTCCACAGCGCAGGCTCATCCCTCCCCCCCCCCCCACACACACACGGGCAGTGCCCTGTCCACAGCACAGGCTCCCCTCTGTCCAGGACTGTCTTCTGGCCACAGGCAACCCACTGTGCCCCTCGCAACCTACTGATGCTCCCGAGTGCCAGGCCAGGAGCCCGGGAATGCGAACCGACTCTCTGGTTCCTTCCAGAGAGCAGAGGGTCATGTGCACAAACGCACATGCCACATACACACGCACACACATACCCATGACTCACGGCTAGGCAATCACGTGGGTGCCCATGCATACACACGTACACCCCCACAGATGCACTCCCAAGCGCAAACACACCACATGCGTATGGGAACATGAAAGCACATGCACACACGTGCAAAAGTGCCACACATGCCCATATGGACACGCCAACACACATACACACACACGTGCAAAAGTGCCACACATGCCCATATGGACACACCAACACATATACACACACACGTGCAAAAGTGCCACACATGCCCATATGGACACACCAACACACATACACACACACACACACACACACACACACACACACATACATGCGTGCGCGCGCATGTGCGCGGCTGACTGGCCTAGACATCAGCCATTTAGAGTGCTTACTGCAGCCTTCCCTTCCCTGCCCAGAGCAAAGCACAGACAGATCTGAGCAACGGAATTCCCGCTACACAAAGGAAGGACACTGGAAAATGATCCTCCAGGTGTGCAAAGTTACCTAAAGACTAACCGCAGGGCACAATACCCACCAGACTCATGTCTGGAAGGAGGCAGAAGCGCTTAGCCCTGTCCACCTCTGCCCTCGGTTAGCACGGGCTCTCAACCGGGGCAAGGCTTGCAACTGGGGCTGCTCCCAGGGGCACCTGGATGCATGCACTCAGCTTCCAGAACCAGCACCTTGTGTTGGGCACACTGCCCTCAGGAGCCTCCGGCCCTGCAGAGCCTGGTCCACGTCCTAGGGTGCCCTGGAGGAAGATGAGCCCCATTTCCCGTGGCAGTACCCGATTTCGGGGGCAAAGCCCTTCTCCACACACCAGAGGGGACTTTCTCCAGCTGCCAGAGGGGTCTGCAACACTGCCCAACCCTCGCCAGGGGGCTCCGAGTGGGCACGAGAGGTTCCAGCAGCACTGGTGGTCTTTAGACACACAGAATTCCATGGTACTTGACAGGGAACCAAGAGGGCTGAGGGGTTGACCCCACCCCCGGGACCCCCCAGTACTCAGTCACCTCCATCTCATAGCTGACTTGGGCACTGAGTCCTCCTGGCCTCAGTGCCTTTGCAAAGGCTACATCTAGAGCCCTCACATGTGTCTCCCTGTTTCTCTTGGATGCTCTCAGCCCCGCAGCTGTGCCCAGACAAGATGCCCCTTCTCTTCCTTCCCACTCTCCCCAACCCTCAATCTCCTTCCTGGGGCCACTTCCCATTCTCTCATATTATAGTCACTGAACCCATTTCCCTTCTGACTCTGGTTCCCTAGTCAGGTCAGCTCTGCTGGAGAAACTCAGCAGCCTGTGCTGGGTGCACTCAGCACCAGGAGGAGGAGCAGTCAGGAACTGCATTGGCCTCAGGCTGTTGGCGGGCGTGCATGCATGGGTCATGACTTGGGAACCTAACTGAGGCTGGAGAGATAGTAGGTAGGAAGGGAGCGTGCCTTGCACATGGCTGGCCTTGGTTCGATCCCCAGCATCCTGCACAATTCCCTGGGCCCCGCTAGGAGTAATCCCTGAACACAGGGCCCTGAGCACCATCAGGCATGGCCCCAAAACACAAAACAAACAGAACCCCCCTTAACTGCCCCACACCTTCCTGCAGGGAAGCACGGATTATCACTTCTGCCCGTCAGAGATCACTGGGGTGGAGCGGGCACCCCGTCACCTGCCAACTGGGACAGTCGCAACACTGGACAGAGAAGCCCAGAAGAGGGGGTGCTTGTCAGCAGGAGGCAAAGGAGCCACGTCAGGAGAATAGCTCCCCGGGGTGTGCTCAGCGCCCCTCCCCCCTCAGCCAGACCAACCTTCACGCCCTGTGGGGACAGGCATGACACTGGGCAGCATGGACCCTGAGCCCAGACGGGAGCACCAGCAGGTCCAACCTTGCGGGCTACAATGAGGCCTCCCCCACCCTCACACTGCCCCGCACCTCTCAGCTCACCTTTCAGAGTCGGAACAGGGCCGTCGTGTCCCTCGGGCTGTCCCAAAGGGTCACTGGGATCAGGAACCTCCATGTCTCCTGGGAAGAGAGAATGTCAGGGTGAGACGAGAGAGATGGCACCTCAGGTCGTGTCTTTTGCGTAAGGTTGGCCCCTCCCACAGGACAACGGTGTTCCCCAGAACTCCACACTAGCTACAGAGACCCCAAAGGCATGGGGGGGCATCCGGGCACTTCTGCAGCATGGAGTTGGAGGAAGGGTCATCCCAATGTTCCACCCAAGAGCAGGGCTGGCAGTGGAAGCAACTGTGCATGCAGAAGCCCGGAGCCTCGTCAGGCAGTGCAAGAGAAGGGCCTGATAACAGTGGGAGGTCGCCTGCCTCGCTCGTGCCAACCCTGGTTCCATCCTTGGCACTGCAGAGGGTCCTGGGAGCAGAAGTAACGCCTGAGTGCAGAGTCAGATCCCTGAGTGTAGCCCCCAAATCAAAACAAACCAGACAGAAAGGGAGGCATGAAAGCTCCGGCAAAATAAAACATCTGTAGACACTTAGCAGCTTTAAGAGGGATGGATTAAGATGGGTGAATTTCCTAAGCAGTTTATTCTGCCTAGCCTGGGTCCTCAGACCCACAGGGAGAGAAGCACAGATATCCAGATCTCCCCTTAGAGTCTCCCTTAGAACCCCAAGGACAGAAGCTTCTGGTCTTCACACCAGCAGCTTCATCCCTTGGAGACAACCCAAAGAAGCCGCCCCATCCAGTCCCACCCACAACCAAGGGCAAGAACTGGCCCTTGGTCCTGGGCACTGAATACTCAGGAGACACAGCCCCAGAGATGGAATCTGCACCCTGGAGCCCAGAGAAGCGACGCAGCCCAGCTGACGGTCAGGACCACCCAGGCTCTCTTAGCCGGGCACAGATCCCCTGCCCGCAGATCCCATCGAGGACTTGGTCTGGGCCCTGGTGGGGGTCCTGACGATGCCTCGGGATGCAGTGGGGTGCCGGGCACCAAAGCACATCAGCTAGCAGGGCACAGACAGTGGAATCACTGACACGACTTAGGAAAGAGTAGGGGTAGGCACCTGGCCAACACAGAGATAGCTCTGAGAACCCGATCCCTAGCCACAGAGCCCACAGCAGCTAGCTAAAGGGGGCCTGTCTCTAATTTCCCCCGGGTGAGGTAAGCTGTCCAGGGATCAAACGGTTCTTGGGAGAGTTCAGGGTCCACGCGCTGAAACAGACGGTCCCAACCCGCTGCAGAGAAGTGCAGAAGGCATCAGAGGCTGCATTTGCTAATGACTCAGACTTCAGTTTGGGTTGAAGTTGGAACATTGGCATATTCCATATAACATCACTCATCACTGTTTAAACGCAGGGGGACCACAGGAAATCAAACACACTTGCACTATATACATACATCTGAAAGGGGCAGAAAAATTATTAACTGCTGAGCAATTGACAAATGGTGTGAAACAGTCAAATAAACACACATGCTAAAGAAAAATAAGCAGCCATCAGTCTGCTTCCCCTGGGTGAAGGCTTCCCAGCTCTTCCAAACAGTGCTCAGTTTGGAAGCACAGCTACTCTTGCCGGCAGCAGGGCTGGGGGGGCAGACCCGGGACACTCCCAGCAGGAGAGCTGGAAGTGACCTGCAGGCGTCTGTTCACACCTAGCAGACAGCCCTCCACCTGGGCAGGCAGAGTCGGTTGATGTCAGCAATGCTGAGATTTTCTGGGAATGGGTTGTGATCTTTGGTACCACTGTTGGAAGCTGGTTTTTGGTTTCTTTCAGTCCACTGCGCTGTGCTAGGAAACTTTTCCTTTGGGTACTTGAGCAAAGTCATGGCTATTCATGTACTAGAAAAAATGAACAATAATTCAAGTAGCCCATTCAGCTGATACAAGTTTTGGGTGGGAGGAAGCAGGATCCTCAGGCTGAGGTTGTGTGTATTTCCTCTGCGTGTCCACATGGACAAACGTGTCCTTTGTAATAAGGACGTTTCCACACCGTGGGCCAGTCTCTCTCCTGTACGCCAGGCCATGGATCAGAAGTTATAGCCAGGGCAGTAGACCTTGGATTTCAGCCAAGACCAGTGGTTTTCAACTCCTTCTCCACCTGTGGAAGGCACCGTGCATCGACTGGTGGTTGAAAAGCTTTAATTGAGAGCTAAAGGCAACACTTCTGTTGGCAAATTCAAACATATCATCTTTATATAAAGCTGAAGCAGTGAATTGTTATCGTCAATCAAGACAGTGCAGTCTGTCTCCTAAAACTTATCAGCAAAATATGATGTTGCAGAAAGAGACAAAAAAAAATGTTCCCTTCTTCCTCTCAACTCCTGTGAGAACCCTCCTTTTCCAAGAAAATTCACAATGAAATCCAAAGAAGACACAAAGACAAGATGAAATAAGACTTTCACAGAGATAATACAGGAGGGGAAGGTGCTTGCTTTGCAAGCAGCCAGCCTGGGTTCATTCCCCGACATTCCATATGGTCCCCTGAGCTCTGCCAGGAATGATCCTGAGCGCAGAGCCAGGAGCAAGCTCTGTGCATCACTGGATGTGGCCCCAAAACTAAACGAACCCAACAAGATGAATGGACAGGTGCACCTCAAAACGTGCATATTCGTTACCTGGATTTTAACCCAGGTAAATTTAATTGTTTACCTGGCTTATACACATCTCTATCGTGAGCTAGTCTCAAACTATCCCAAATGCCACGGTTCAGGGTATATTCACAGGGATATAGTGCGACTATATTCCGGGTTCGAGGTATACTCACAGGGGTTCTCCCACATGTCACTCTGACACATTTTGTCACTCCTTTCCCCCATAGAACACCTGAATCTCTGGATCCTTATCGCCCCAATTCCTGGCGATCATAAAGTTACTTTCTGATGACAAATGTCTCTATCCTGGACATTTTCTTGTGACCAAATATATGTTTTATTATTAGAGCTTTTGAAAGAAAAAAAATGTATGCTCAAGTCATAGTCAAAACATGGGAGTGGGAAGGAGGGCAGAAGAGAAGGCAGGAGAGTGGGGGTGGGGGGTCGGGAGCGCAGTTTCCTCCTCAGACAGGACTGCCGTGGGTGTTAGGGGGGAGCGTCAGGTGAACTTAGTCCATCCCTTTAAATCTCGCCCAGAACAAGCAGCCAGTCAAAACAGATAATGGAATGGCTGGGGGTGGGAGATGACAGCAGATAAAGAAGCCCCTCGGCCAGTCTCTCGCTTGCACACTCACTTTCGTCCAGGTGGACTGCAGGATCAGACAGGCTTGTGCGCCCAAAGAGGTGAGAGAATGCAGACACGGCCCAGGGACCCGGCCCGGACTGGCGGCAGATTCCGGCGGGTCTCCGATGAGCCCTGAGGTACTGAGCACAGGAACTCGCCCATGCCCACCAGGGGCACGTGGCTGGAGACTAGGAAAGCTGAGCTGTCAGGGGACCATTGAGACAGAGTCTGGGAGAGGCCCAGACAAGATTTCAGACCAGGAAAGCAGACCCTGGATAGAGAACAGTATAGGAACCAGACCAGGCAAGCAGACATGAGCAGCGATCGGCCCTAGGAAGTCACACAGATTAGCAGCACAGAGGCAGGATGAGTGACATCACACACAGGCAAAGGAGAGGTTTGGACAGCTGAGAGCAACACGGACACCACTATTTGAACTCACAATAAGTTGTAATTCCTTAACCTTAAATTCTGATGATGTTTGATTGACAAAACCTTGGAGAGACTTGTTCCACCCGCCTGCAACACGCCTGTCGCCCAGGGCAGGTACAGACAACAAGCCGTGTCTCTAAAGCAAATATGATTGTACACAAATCTTTCATACGGTTCTCAAGAACCCACCAGCTCGGGAAAAACCACTTTCGCCATAACAATGGGGAGCCCAGAAGGGACATAAATGCTGAAAACCGAAGAAGCCCCAGACAACTGGGCAGGAGACACGTGGGGCAGGAGCAGGAAGGCTCACGCGGCATACAGACCCCAACACAGAGCAACATTTCCACACAGAAAGGCGGCAAGACTTGCGAGAGTTGCAAAGAACGGCCCCAGGGAGCTGAGCAGCCCGGCTGGGGACACAGGCCTGGGAATCTGGCCGAGCTGCCTCCCTGTCTAGCCTGGAGCTGGACACGCCACCTCCACCCTCCTGTGCAGCCCACTCTCCTGCTTGGTAGCTAGACCCTGGTCATGTGGGCCCTCAACGCCTCCCGCATGACAACCTGGGCCTCACTGGATGAGCCCCGCACCGCAGGCAAGGGGGCTCTTCACATCTCCTCATCTCGCCCACTGTGTGCATCAGCACTCATGTGCTCTTCTGTGCCAGTGCACACACATGCATTTGCATGTGTCTCTGCATGTGTGCCTGAGTCTGCTCATGCGTGCATGTATATCGGGCAGCACACACCCAGAGGTGTTCAGGGCTTACTCCTGATGGGCTTCTGATGTACAGTGCTGGAGTCTAACTGGCATCAGTTGCATGCAAGTGCACTCTCTCTCTAGCCCCAGTACTGAACTTCCTTATTTTTTTTTCCTTTTGGTTTTTGGGTCACATCGCCAGCAATGCTCAGAGGTTACTCCTGGCTCTGCACTCAGGAATTACTCCTGGCAGTGCTTGGGGGACCATATGGGATGCGAGGAATCAAACCGGGTCTGCTACATGCAAGGCAAATGACCTACCCGCTGCACTGTCCCTCCAGCCCCTGCTAAGCTTTCTTCTTTTGAGTCCCAGAGAACTGGATTCTCTGAAATATGCAACTTGTCTCCCTTTCCTTTTATAAACACTGATATTTTAAAAATTTACTGCTGGACAAGAGTGGGAGATGTAAAGCAAGGAAATACTGTGTCCCAAGTGCTAACAGCACACGACATACTCATTTTAAGCCAAGACTGGAAGGCGTTCAGCAAATCTCTTACAGAGAGCGTGGAGCATGTGACACTAACTGGTCTTCACAGACTCGGTGAATGGTCAGAGCAAACGCTGGAAAGACAATGCAGAATCACAGAAGCAAGTACCAGCTAGTTGTGGTGACTGATTAGAGTCTATTCCCTTTTGAGATCTAAAAATAGAGAACA